CACATTCAGCCCTAGCATACTCCTTAAGGTGACACTAGTCGACAATATTTCCATACAAATTTCGGAGGGGTTTTACTACGCTGTTTGACAGTGTACATCCAAAGTTAAACATGATATCGTTTTGTCTCATTATTAAATTTGTCTGTACGGAAACAGAATAGTAAAATAAAATGTTATTAAAAAGTTACGGGCTACCAAAGATTCGTTTTTATTGCCAATTTTAACACAACTTTGGGCGTAAATTAGTAATAAAAGAAGTGTAAAATTTCCAAAACAAAGTCGGTACCGACACAGCTCAATTATCGAAGAATGCAATAAATTTTATTCGTAATTGATTTATGCAGTGGTTTTTTCATAAAACCCCTTCTTCCAAAGGCCTTTTCGTATTTTTTTACGCGCGTATGTTACTATGAATTATCGTGCATCTCACTGAATAATGTTTCCCCCGGTGCGGTGCGGGAGGACGACGCTTACACACACATGCACGGGCGGTGACGCACGCTTATTCGAGTTTTATTCGAAACGAAAAGTTTTGCTATTTTGTAATTTGGACGCCAAAGACAAAAGACAGCATGGAAATTGATATAATTGAAAGAGATGAATGATGCGTTTTGGACGACAGACAATATTGTAAAATTTTCGTCTGTAATATAATATAATTATAAAAGTAAAAAAAGTAAAGTCTATATACGATTACTATATAAAATTGCAACAATTTCATTGGTGCCGACGGGGATCGAACCCGGGTTGCTCGCGTAATGTGATACTTACGGCGAGCGCTAACCATCTGAGCTACCACGGCTCTCAATGCAAGTGTTATAAATGAATAAAGAATTACAAAACAGTTTAATTATTTATTAGACGACTCTTGCGGCGGACAAACAAGGTACATTATGTGGGATTTTCATAGGTACCTACTGTTATTACCTAGATACCTACAACCTACAACCTACAATACAACAAAATGTCACAAAACGTCACCGCGTCGTGGCCACAAAATTGTAAACTTTAGGTAGGTACGTCAGTACTAAGAAAACAATCTTGATGGGTCACTTGTCTTGATAAAAACCTGTGTTTACATTTAGTGATATTGAGTATATATAAAAAAGTAAGAAGTCAGGTAAGTATTTTTGAAAACAATTTATAGGTAGGCAGAACTAATTACAATTACCTATTATCTAAATATTATAAATGCGAAAGTTTGGATATTTGGATGGACGGATGAATGGATGTATGTTACTCAATCACACCAGAACCGCTGAAGGGACCTGGATGATATTTTGCTCAGAGATAGGTTATAGTCTGGAATTTTATTATTTTTTTTATTTTTTAAAAAAACGTTACCCCCACACTAGGATTTTCTCCTGTATCGTGGAGGCAGTTTACAAACATCCAGACCCGGAACAACTATTTGCAGGCCATACAAATACTTGTTCCGTGCGGGATTCGAACCCGCGGCTGCCAGTGCAACAATTCATTGCTAAGCAACTGCGCCACGGAGCTGTAAATAACATATATGATACCGTTTATTCAGGTATTTCGTTCCCGTTGGATAATTTTTGCAGTTATACACGTTCGAAGCCGAACTCTTGAGTGATCGCTGCATGACCACTCGGGAAAAACTAAACATAATAAAGTAAGCAATCTATATTAGGTATATAGAGCCACAGAGGTATAACATGAAGCGATAAAGCAGCGCCTAATAATTTCGCGGTTTCACCCGCGTCATCACGTGTCCGAGATGCGTGGCATGACATGACACCTAGTTCAAGCATTTTATAATTGCAATCAAATATTTTATTTAATAATAATGTATAGAAAAATTGTCATAATTAATGGGGTACTTTTATTTTATCTGTCGGCATACTATGCGCGGTTTTATCCAGTTTTAAAGAAAAACGTACACGATACATGAAAGTGTGTAGGCAAGAAATGATTCTTGATAAATTTTCTATCAACCTCTTATACTTATTAATCAATTAAACTTTCAAAATACCATAGCAACGTGAAATGAAAGAGTTCAGAAATAAAGATGTAACTAATCATTGTTACGCTCACCTGGGAGATAGATAAAAGCACTCAGTTAATTTTGAATTTATTTTAGCTACCAGCTGTTTCCCGCGACTTCGTCCGCATTTAGTTTAGGGTGTTAATTTTGTTGCACGGACACCTAATAATTTTTCTAAAATTTAAGCAGTCTAAGTTACTTCTTATAACATGAGCTATCTACTAGTGAAAGTCCCGTCAAAATCGGTCCAGCCGTTTTGGAAATTAACCGGAACAAACAGACTGACAGACATACAAAAATGTTAAAAATTATGTTAATGTTATAAGTAGCGTATATAATTTCATATGCAATTAGTAAAAAGCTGTTATTTTGACATTACAAACAGACACTTCAATTTTATTTATTTGTGTAGATATAGATAATGATTGAACTAACGGCTAACCTAACCTCGCTCATAGAAGCTTTCAATACTGGCTTCTCAGTTCGCACCGGGCTAGGCTAGGGGTTATGCGTTGTTTGCGCGTCAAGGCCAAGTATTGAATTATTTTAATTTTACATTATCTCTTAACCTATGTACTATATAAACATGGTATAAGGAACGAACTTTATCTTCAAAAAATTGTCTTGATAATGAAGTAACTTTCGTTCGTAAGGATAAATATGTCATGCCTAATAATTAAATTTTCTTTTTTTTTTGTCAAAATCAAAATGCCTAATTGTAGCTTATATATAAAAAATAGACATATGGTATCGCGGACTTTTTTTAGACGGAGTAAAGATCTATATTTTCTGCTTTATTATATTAGTATAGATGTTGCATCGTGTTCGTGTAACTTCGTTTTTGTTCAAACGGTTCGGAACGCCGTACGAACAAGACATGCGTAAATACTAGTGTCGATATGCTCATCACTGATACTATCTCTGTCGGGCACGATGCCAGGTGAGACAGCGTGCTTTTTCGCCGCGCCCACCAGCGAGTTCGAGCCCGCGACTTGTGCCACCTTAAGGAACGCATTTCTACAGCATTTATTCTACTCTCATGCTTCTTCTGCCAGACCCAACTTTTACTACCATACATTAAAGTAGGGACTAACACAGCATTATGAATTGCCATACGTGTCTTAGTTGACACATTCTGATTCCTCATAATAGCGTGTAGAACCCCATTCACTCTATTTCCTGCACACATTATGTATATATATAAATATGTGTATATATATTGTGTGTGTATGTATATATATATATATATATATATATATATATATATATATATATATATATATATACACATGTTTTTAAATTACTCTTTCTGCTCGTACTCTTAAGTTATGATTTTTAAGTAAGAAAACTGTAATTAGCTTTAATTTAAAACTAAGTAAAGGTTGTATACTACTATTGTAATCATGCCGTAGTTTTCTAATAAATAAATAAATAAAATAATATGTTTTGGATCCCAAATTATTCGCTCAGCCTGATAGAGTTCCAAGAACTGCGGCGTTTCTTCTTGCGACTAGTCCATTTTTAATTGAAGTTGAACGTGTAAACCCAACAAAACAACACAACCTGCACGGAAGGGCGCCGTAAACAAAGTGAAACGAGAGCGCGAGTGTAAACAGCACGCTCGCGTCCCTCGCGAGGCGCCTGCCTCGTGCCCAGACAACCGGCTGGGACGCGAGCGCCGCCAGTGGCGAGGCGACTCGCCTCGTCGCGAGCGCGAGAGTGGAAATGGGGTATTAGGATCGGCTAAAGTGATTTTATACAATTTTTATATAAGTAACCAAGAACAAAACGCTTCTTGATTATTTCGATGCCAATCAGTAACTTTGTTAAACAAAGGCCTGATTTCAGACAAGGCTGTGTTAAGATACACAAAGCCTAGAAGTATTGGCACGACCGGTGTGATAACATCACCAGTGATAAACAACATAGCAATTAATGTTACTGGTTTGCAACATATCATTGATATTTAGAAAAAAGGGGTTTCGTATGGTGAGTGTAGAGAACCGGAGACACTTTTCACTTTAAACGAGACATTCCATCTTAGTCTTCACGGTTGACAACGCATCTGCATTTAAATACCAGCGTAAAATAGCAGCTTAATGCTGCTGTGTTTCGTATGGTGAGTGTAGAGAACCGGAGACACTTTTTACTGGAAATGAGGCATTACATCTTAGTCCTCACGAGTGCCATCGCATCTGCATTTTGATTCTTTATTGAGAATAAATGTAGATGTCTATGGGACACAGCATCCACGTACCATCAGGTGGACTGTGTGCTCATTTGTTACCCTTTCTCTATAAACAAAAATTTTAGACGAAGAAATGCATTTTAGTGCCAAATTATTAAATATTAAAACCTCACCATAACATGTTTTAAGACCACCAGACACTGATTTAATTTTTTTTAAAGGTTGTATGTATGTACGTACATACGTTAATAAACATTTTTAATTATAATTATATTGGTACCGAACCACTTTTGTTAGACGCGAGATTGGACATTCTGTAACGTTCTTAGAACGAATGTGTTATTTTAACCACATAATAAATAACAATTTACGTTGTTTTTTTTTAAACAAAAGACAGAATTACACGATAACAATAAAATTTTAGACATAGAAATGTATTCCCTTTAACTGTCCGGTTTCTAGACACAATAGTAAGACAATAGCAATGAACCATATGTGGGTCACGGCACAGTGAACGTGTTATTTATTTTTTTAAATACTAGTAATGCTTTTAAACATTACTAATATTTCCTTTAACCACTTCTGGTAAGCTTAAAATGCCTGTGTTAGAAGTGGTTCACGACAGTAGTGAAATGGCGGATTCGAACCCACGACTTTTCGAGTTCGCGGTCCGCGCCCTGCCATTAGGCTACTGACGCTTCATAAATTAATTTTCATAAATTAGTAAATTAATTTTTCATAATGTATTTAATTATGTGTAATTTGTTTTCGCCAAATTAAGTAGGTATATTGTATGCGACATACCCATCTCTTTTGCCTGTTTCCTGGCAGCCAAGTTGGCCAAGTACTCTGGGCTGGTTTTGTCGATCCGCGGCCTCCCTCTTTTTCTCTTAGCCGGTGTTAGGTGGGAGCTTGACGAGCTCGTTGCCGGCTTGGGGCCATTACTTGTGTCTGAAAGCGAAAAAAAAATACACTCAAATCATATTTTTTAGGGTTTCGTACCCAAAGGGTAACCAATACAAACCGTCTGTCTGTCAGCGGGCTGTATCTCATGATCCGTAATAGGTAAACAGCTGCAATTTTCACAGAATGTGTTTTTTTTATAGGAGAGGACGACAAACGAGCACACAGTCCACCTGATGGTAAGTGGTTGCTGAGACCCATAGATATCTATATCTATCCTCAATAAAGAATCAAAATGCAGATGCGTTGTCACCTGTGAGGACTAAGATGGAATGCCTCTTTTCCAGTAAGGGTCTCCGGTTCTCTACACTCACCATACGAAACACAGCAGCGTTAAGCTGCTATTTTACGCTGGTATTCTGTGAGAGCGTGGTCCTTACCCGGTCCAGCCGACCCATTCGTGCTACAACTATACTACTATTATAGCTGCAGCATGGCTCTACCACGTAAACGTTTTTGTTGTCGCTATAACAACAAATAATAAAAATAAATTAAAAATTTAACCTACTAGAAACGTGTGTGTTGGTACGGAACCCTGCATGCGCGAGTCCGACTCGCACCTGGTCAGTTTTTTTAAAGGAAGTCAGAGTGACAAACCATCACAAAGTCAACCTGGTAGCAAGTGGATGTGGGTGGTAGCCGGGTTCGAACGGATGGTTTCTATATATCGAGAACAGCGCTACCTACCTGGTTCAATTGTGAATCTAAACCATCCAATCTATCCCACCCACTCAAAGAACTTCATCAAAATCGATCCAGCCAGCAGTTATTGCGAGACTAACATACAGCCACTGAGTTTTATATAGTGTTATTTTGCAATAATCGACCTTTGCAAAGAAGGTTCACAATAAGTAATATAGGCAAATATTGAAGAAATATTAATTTAAAAAATTTCAAACATTCTCTCTATTTTATCTTTTAAATTCAAAATGCGTGTTAATGCATTTATTATTATTTTAACTTTATATTTATATTATTTATTGCATAAACCTAAGTACTTTACTTAACTTCTTTAACCTGCAGACCTGGTGGCAAACTCACTGAATTTACTGTGCACGCAACACATTCGCAAGGGTCGATCGGTAGGCAAAAACGTTGTTGCCCATAAATCACATTCAATTTGGGATAATTACAAATAAAAGTAGATACACGTATTTTCAAAAACTGCAAAAACGGTATATCATTAATTTATATATTTGAACTTAAGATCAAAATTAAAATTTGGAGCTACTCTTTGAAAAATAACCCAGAGATTAAGAATCAAAATATGTAGTAGATATATATTTATATGCTTTGTTACCCCGGAGTACCAAAAATTATTATTTTTTCTATTTTAATAAGACTCATCGTGCATCGCATCGTGGAGGCAGTTTACTTACCAATATATTAGCCACTAAGTATATTTACTAAAATTTAATGTATGTTTAGTTTTATTAAAAATAGTGATGTTGTACATGCATAAATACTGGAAACAAGCACTACGTAGTCATACCAGTTACTAGACACCAAAGAGTCAGTAACTCCTTCATGGAGCAATGTTTTTTTTTATAGGATAAGGGTGACAAACGAGCACACAGTCCACCTGATGGTAAGTGGTTGCTGCGGCCCATAGACATCTACATCTATCCTCTATTCCTAATCAAAATGCAGATGCGTTGTCACCCGTGAGGACTAAGATGGAATGCCTCATTTCCAGTAAAAAGGGCCTCCGGCCACCCGCACTCACCAAGCGAAACGCAGAGGTAAACCGCTACTTCACGCTGGTTTTCTGTGAGGTCGTGGTACCACCCCGGTTCGAGCCGGCCCATCCGTGCGACAGCAAAAGCTGCCGCGTGGATCTACCACTGTCAAAATGTATGTATACGCTTTTACAACAGTTCCAGAAAATATGCAGGCCTTGTCTATCAAAAGGTTTCAAATTATTTATTAAGCAAAAATTGTCTAGTAAGGGTTATTATACTACTAATAAAGAGTACATGATACTGATAATAACCCCTGGGAATGGGGTAATCGCTACTATGCTGTTTCTAAATGTATTCATGACCACTGTAAAAAATAATATATTGTAAATTTATTTTGTTTTAAAAAGAAAGTCCCGCTTGGTTTCTTGCTGGTTCTTCTCAGGACAGAGGTTTTTTCCAGAACAAGTTGTAAGTTAAAAATGACTTTCAATAAGAATGACTTTATCTATAATATAAAAATGAATCGCTGAATGTGTTGCTAAGCGCAAATCTCGAGAGCAGCTGAACCGATTTCGCTAATTCTTTTTTTATAATATTCCTTGAAGTACGAAGATGGTTCTTACGGAAAAAAAAATTGCCTGAAAAAGTCTAAAAACAACACTTTTCTATATTCCCATACAAAAGATTCATAGTAATACTTAAAAGTTAATTTGAACTTTAATACCATACCATAAAGTTTAAGTGTTAGTGGAGGGGTTCCGGGAAGGCAAAACAATTGAGTGACGTTAGTATCATTGGGGCTTAGTTGTTGTGGCTGTAGGTGGCTTCTTGCCCACAGAACATCTGACTTCGAATGAAAGTGTTAGCTAAGGTTTTCATAGATCCCCAAATTTCTGACAATACGTGTTTATTATTATTTTATACTTGGTAGAGCCAAGCCAGCTATATTTTGGTTGGAGTACGTATGCGTTGTTATGGGCATAGTACAAATAACTTACAGTAGATGGCGCGCGTATAGTACCGACACATTTGTAAGTTATATATCATTCAACATCAATGAATGCATTGTCATTCCTAATAATATAACTGTTCCAAATTTAAAACGATATTACGACAATTATTTCTTCTGCGGTTGCAACGCGCCGGGTACCAGCTAGTATTGAATAAAAATTATTTCATTCTATTCTATTCTTACATTATCATTTATAGTTTTTATCAGGAAGTTGCTGTTGCTTGTTGCCGATCTCCACGGTACGATATAGGGTAGTGTATATTATAACACCGCTACTACACGGGCATTATAAATTGTCTTTCTGAAATATTAGTTTTATTATAAGGCGGCTCTTCACGTTCGCTAACATACTGGCGAATGTGTTGGCCAATAACGATGGCCATCGTGTAGAGCGGGTGTTTATGCTTACGTTGGTATCTATTGGAATGTAGGCCCACAAGTTGGCGCGAGATCCGTGTGGTGTCGGTTTTTTACAAAAGATCAAAAGCAGAGTATTGGCCGCCGCGTCCACACGTTGGGCGCACGTTCAGTTTGCTACGAGCTCCCAGAGTGATTGTGCGTAGTTGATTTAAATTTTATATGCACGCATCGTAACTAGTGTCTACGTAATGGCAGTAACAATGACCAATGGAAAAACTTTTCGTTTTATAGAGCCCTACCAAGCCGAAAATTGTTCGTGAAACACAAGTCTTTCAAGTCTTTTTTTTTTTAAAAAAAACGTTACGGATTTTCTCCTGTATCGTGGAGGCAGTTTACAAACATAAATTGCATAAGGACAAACATCCAGACCCGGAGCAATTATTTGCAGGCCATACAAATACCTGTTCCGTGCGGGATTCAAATCCGCGGCCTCCAGCGCAACAACTCATTGCTAAGGCACTACGCCACGGAGCCGTCAAGAAATAAAATTTATTTTTTCCATTTCTTTTTGATCACCCTTTTCTTATACACATTCACGTTGTAGTGGTATACTGTGAATAAATAAACTGCAGCAGCTGTTAGCGCCTCAATTATCATTTTAATAAATTCGTACGTACATTGCATTGGTCTGAACCGAAGCAAACTGAACGACCTTTCAACGTGTGGACGCGATTACAAATTCTTGGCCAATATCTCTCTGCCAACACATTCGCCACTATGTTGGCCAACGTGAAGAGCCGCCATTATATTATTAAATAGATAATTATATTAAAAATGGAGAAAACCACATATAGATTTTTTATTTGAAACCTTTTGAAACTTAACTTTTCACTTCTGGTTTGATAATTCTGCCAATAGATGGTGGTAGTTCAATTGTTTAAAAACTAATGTCACTAGATGGCGCTAGTAGTGTTTTTAAACTCGCAACGGTTTGACCAAGTCGTCGATGTATAGTTGTGCAATCATCTGAAACGGTGCCACTACTATTTGGTAGGCTGTAAAACCTCATGATAAATTTTTGGAGAAACTATGCGCACTTAGGTGACGGATGGTTTTAGATATTAAAGAAAAATAGTGCCGAATGCGTAACCACTGGTGCACTCTCTATTCCTTTACGCTCATGGTCCTGGATCAACCACTTTACGTGCTTTCCAAGGCACAGGGTGAGATACAACTTGGCACTGCCAACTTCCCACTACCCAAAAAAGATAAGCACGGCTGCCGTCAGTCCGTATCAAATCAATCAATGGTTGGTTATTTATACCTGCAAAATCGTTTCGTTGTATATAATCTTTTAGTAAGTATTATATCACTTACATTACTTAACCTTTTGACCGCCAAAGTCGCCTATACTTGACACTGTTACCAACCCTACTGTTTTAACAGTAGATTTGCTGTTTTCACATTGATTTCAATGTTTTCTGTTTCATTCCTATTTTCTACTGTTTTTCAACTAGCGTTCAGCGCTACCTATTACACTGCTATGCAAACATTTTTTGATAACCACTACGTAATAAAACGCAATGACACTAGATGGCAGTATCTTCTTTAGTCGGGATTCGGGGGAATTCCCGACCACATTATATGTGTTTGACAATCATATTTTTATGCACGGGGAAATCCCAATTTATGAATGACAGCTACACGCCTATTGTATTGCGTATTGTTTTATAATCACAACACCTTGAACAGTTTCATTGAATTGAGGCGTCTATTTAAAAAAAAAACAATAATTACAATGTTTTTGATAAAATGAGTAGTGATTCATCGACTGGGAAAAGTCCTCTTAAGAAGAAAAATGTGCGGGTGACACGCCAGGCGTGCCATCGATTACTTTTGTGTGTGGCGTATGACACGCGAGTCGTGTCTTTTTA